CACACCTCAGGCAACAACCATATCCCTGGTCACCCACCCCACATAATCCCTGACCAGTCAGGAGCCCAGCTTCATGGAAAACAGGGTGTTTTAGTTGCTATGCCTGTTGTTTAGTCATTAGCCTTCTTCCCTCTGAAGCCTTCCAGCAAGGATACCAATTAGTGCAAATGGCTTGTAATTAGCAGTGATGATTTTTGTAATGTGGATACCTTCTCAGTATGAACAGGAATGAGCCACCAACTCATTTCACATAGTCCATAGGCAACCATCAGGAGGTAAAGATTTGCAGTTAATAAAGGCCCATGTGAGAACGAAACCAGTGACTCAGAGGACTAATGCATTGTCTTACCATACTGGTCCCCAGTGTTAGCACCTCTAATCTAACTGGATCATTGTTAATCCTTTGTTTTACTGAGAATGTGAAAATTTTCTAAACACTTACTTCACATTTAATTTCCTCAGAGATGCATACTGTGTGTAATAAGTGTGCTGCCTCCTGACATGGCACCTTCTTTCATTACTTGGAGGGGAATTCACTCTCCCTGTGTGCCTCCTGCTTTCACCTGTCCTGCTCCATTCCCATCTCCTCTTCTACCTCTCCCCAACCTCACAATAACCCTCATCCGTGTGGCAAAGGTGGCTGAAAGTTGGCCTCCCCCACACTGGGTCTGATGAAAAGTTTCCCTCAGGCTTTCCCTCTCCAGGCCAGCTGTGAGGCCTCTCTCCCTCAGGCCTTCCTCCTTGAGGCCTGCTTCGGGGCTGCCCTCCCCTGGGCCTGCCCCAGGCCTTCTCCAGGCCGGGGCCTGCAGCCAGAACGCTCCCAGGGCTGGCCCCGGCTCCTTGGGGCCTGCCCCTGCTGCACTGGGCACCTCACCTGGCTCTCTCCTCCCTCCCTGCCTCCACTTCCTTCACAACACATTTGCGCTGGGGGAGGGCCCAATATGGGTGCCTCTGTCTCCCAGGATCTCCCCTCCACCAGCGGCCCCAGACAGCCCTCTTCCATCTTTCCTCCCCAGGCCTTCCTCCCCCGAGTCACGGTTCTCCAACACCTTCCCTTCCTCCTGGTGTTATGAGCTCTCTCACTTTTCCCAGAACCCCTCTGTAAACCCACATATTCCCACATACCCTCTTGTGCCATGACTCATCCTCCTGAGCTAACCTTCTAATTATTTATAATTAACAATAACAAGAAGGAACTGACATGATGGGGAGATGATCAGATGTGAGAATGAGAAGTTCAGTGTAAATGCTTAGAGCGACAGAAACAGCATCATATACTACTGAATAAGCCTATAATCACTCTGTGTACATTCCCCTTACCATAACCCCTTCCTGACGCTATCAGGCCCCGTGTCCTGTTACGAGATATCAAGCCTCGATTGTAAGCAGAGACCATCCCCTCTCATTTCCATAGGTGCTCAGCATTCTGAGAGGTCAGGGCATTTGAAAATCAGGCCAGTTTTTTTCTGTTTTTATTTTCATTTGCTATGTAAAACATCATATACAGCTGTTGCAGCCTGTGCTAATATATAATAAAAGGCATTTAAATTAGCATGAACTTGTCTCAGCTGCCTTGGATTGCCAGTACTAAAAAGTCCGGCCTTTCCTGTTCTATCCACTTATTGTACCTCTCATGCATTTTTTACTGCAGCTATCCATGACTTAATGTGATGGCAGGCATGAGAAGCCAGCCTTGAGGATGATAAGCAAATTGCTTTTTTTCCTTAGAAGATTAAACTTGCTTTGATAGCATAACCTTGCTTCCTTTCGTCTGCTCTCATTGACTATCCTCCTCTGCCACAGCCTACTTTATAATGTGCTATACTTCCCTCTTCTCCTCCTGCCAGAACCAGTAGTCTTCATCCACTGGAGCCAGAATCCCACTACAAAAGCCCTGTCTCTTTCTCTCCTCCTGTGAACCCATAAACCTCCTTTGAACTTTTCAATGTCTTTATTACAATAATTAAGGAAAAAAGTCTTATCACTGTAAGTTATAAATTACAGAGGCTATTAAGAGGCCTCCTAAGAGGCCTCTACAGAGGCTTTTAAGAGCAGAAAATGTCGTATGTGTAGAACTTTTGTGAATTGACAGACCTGACCTATCAATTTGATTCTAATGCTGTGTCTGTGAAACCAATGTTTGAAACACAAGTGGAAGCAGGTGACGTCTTCCTGAGTTTGCAGTAAGATTGAAAAGGTGAGCTCAACGCTTCTTTTGTTCACCTTGTTAACAGTGTTGGTGTGGTGGTCATTTGATGTGGTACACTGTGAACTGAGTCCTTCAGAAGAATGGTCCACAGGAATGAAGTCCAAGATGACCAGGTTCTAAATGGGTTATTTGAATTACTATAGCACTTTGAAGTCATCTTTGTCTAGGACTACCTAGCTGTTTGACAGGTTATCAGCCCCAAAGATCTTAAATCCTGGTAAATATTTGAAATGAACTGGTGTTTATTTCCCAGGGTGGGATCTTGAGAAAAAAAGAACAGAAAATCAGAGGGAGGGTAGAAATGAGATCTCCAGGAAGGGAAAAAAGGATTATCTGAGACCTCTAGTAATAATAGAAGCACTAAATATGGCGTAAAACAACTATCTAGCTTTAATTTTTTTTTTAAAGACAGTTGTTGAATTAAGCAGAATTTTAATCTGAATTATTTATCCATTCAATATCCACAGTCAGAGTATTTCTCTGGACTAAAAGATTGGGATTGTTCTCTGGTGGGAAGACTACAGAAGTTGTGCTGAAGTCATTGGGAAGAGTCAATGAAGAGAAATGGAGCATGGAACATGTCTGGGGCTCTTAGCTGACCTTTCCCTCTGCTTTCTTTTGTCTGCCTCTACCTAAGATTCTTTGCATATGGAGAGATACTCACCCACCCACCCACTCACTCATGGAGCACAGTTGTTCCACCCTGACCTTTATCTGACTTTTGAAATTATCAGTGGAAAATAAGGAATCATTTTCATGATCATCCCAGGTAAGTAAGGGAGGCAGAGCTTGGAGTAATCTTCATGTCTGGCCTGCCACAAAAGAAGGCAGCACTACATTCTGGTAAAGTGCTGGTGAGTTCTTCCACTCAGAATCCCTCATGGAGGTAACTGTAAAGTACCTTATTATTATATTAAAATACCTGGTTTTTAACCTCTGAAGAAACAGTGTTTAGTAACTCCTTACCTGGGTCAGTTTTGTACCAATAATGCCTCTGTGCAAGGTACGGTTAATGTCATAAACTCTTTTATGTTTCCATCATGACAGTTTAAGGTGTTTCTTCAAATACTAAGTAGGAAAGAACAGTAAATGGTCAATCAAGGTAATACCTTACTCTTGTTCAGGTCACATCTAAATGATACAGACAATGTGAAAATTTTTTTCCCCATGATTTCATGGCCGACAAGGAAAAAAACAACCAGCAACAGTTTCAAAAGCCTAGTTCTATGTCAGTATGACAGAATCTTTCAAATCAATTTTGTTTCAATTTTGAAGCTCATTTACACATTACATTCTATTATACTAATTTTCAAACACTGGTGAACCATGGTATTTTTTTCCAATGGAGTTTAACCTCGTAATTTGTATGTATTGGTCTAACATAGTGGCAGTTCAAAGACATCTCTGCCACTATTGATTTTAATAAGGCAATAAGAGTATAAAAACAGACCAAAAGAAAAAAGCTATGGTCTATGCCATACATGATTCTGGTTGATCCCTTAGGTATGCATCTAGTTGGGGGTCCATAATTACCTATAAGAACCTATAAGGGTGTTTTGAAAATTCACATTTACATTTAGAATCCATCTAATAAGGCAGGAAATTCAGTTAGTGATGTTAGATTCACAGCTGAAGAATCTTTCTCCAATCTCACTATTTTCAGAAATAATGAAATAGCTTTAAAATGACTGAATCTTTTTCTAGTTTCCTAAATAACCTGCACAATGTCAAAAAAATTGTTCAATACTGCAGAGAAGCATATAACCCAAATTCTCTCTTTTTGGTTTTTTTTTGGTCATATACAGTGTATGAAGTGTTTTAATGAAATGGAATAATTTCAGAACACCTTAAATGGATTACAGAATGTCCTAGAACACTTGAGTGATGAGTGGCATCACTGTGTAATACATTACGTTGACATTGAAGCATGACCTATTTGAATCGTTTCCTTAACTGTTTGCTACTTTTAGCACACTGGGCTGCACAAGTACATATGTATAGGTATGCAAAAATATTTTTTAACATTTGATAAAGATGTTTTGATAAGAGGGCAAGAGATTTTTTTCTTGGCAATGTTATTTCCTGTGTCCACCACTAATACCCGTGAAACCTATGTGCTAACTTTCACCTAATCCTTTAATCCCCACATTTTCATTCAAGTATATATGCTCCCAAACTAAACTCTTATGCTATGTTTGCTCTTGTTTTCAATATAAAAGATTAGGATCACTGCCTGAAAAGCATAAAATCTAACTCTGTTTCAAGAGAAGGTAAGACTTTTGTTATAAAGAGAAGTAGACAAATGCCTTTCTAATATTAATCTTCCTATATGCAGAATTACAACAGGGTGTTATATGATTGGTCACATAAGAAGGTCAATTAGTGAACTACAGTGTCTTTACACAGGATCCACCCTGGGAAAGAATTTCAGAGCCTTTGTACCTGATGCAAGTTCTTACATTACAAATTTTAAAGCAGCTTTCCCTCCTTGGACTGAAGGACTAGAGCAAAGGTAGTGTACTTTTAAACGGGTATTTCTCCTTAACCTGATCTAATCATCTCACAATTTTGCAATATAAAAATAAAAAGTGAGGTAAGCATGCAGAGCATAAACCAGAAAAATACAGAAGGATTTAGAAAGCACCAAGCATCCTGGTATCACACATACACACTGCATACAAATAACTGATTCACTTAACTGTATTTGAGTGAGGTGCATTACAACTATCCACAACCAAGTAGCATCCTACAATAGCATTTGGGGCCTTTATATCCACTTTTAAACATCCTACACTTGAAGTCAGTTTATTTGCTTACACCAAAAAATTAATTCCAGCCATAGAAAAATTATTTTGATTCTTAAAGAAATTGTAGCAGCTGAAGTAGAGGTTCATACTTCATTAAGCACACAGATAGTCAAAAAAACCCAACTGTTTTTCCATTTGAAGAAGTTAAGCACTATAGCTCACATATTTTTGTTTTTCAAATGCACACAAACTGTATACTTATTGGTGTCTTAAACAAAAAGTGAGATCTTACTTTGTAAGGAAAAAGGGCTCAACAGTGGCTGTATGTGTGCAGCAGAATTAGGCAAGTCAGTCATGGCATCCCAAGAATAAAATCAATCGTTATCCCTTGCAGAAAGCAGACAGCTGGGGAGCTGAATTCTGCTAACTATAGCAATTATATATTTAACTTCACTGAACTGCCTAGAGTTACATTCATGAATCCATCTGAAGAACTCAATTAGGTCTTCCTGTCTAGACTTGAGAAGTAAATAAATATTACCTAATGCATGGTATTCAATACAAGGAAAACAATCACATTTATACACACTTGCTGCAAGATGAAGCAAGCCAGTGATACCTCTTCTGCTCACCATTCTGGGTTAACATCTGTACCTTGTTCAGTGTGCACTTTATTACATTGACTGCCTGCTCCTTCCTTTCAGCTGCTGTGATTGAAACACCGATGGCTATGGAGGTCTGTCTTTCAGAACAGCCCTCGTTCAGTTATACGAAGACTAATCCAAATAAGTGATTGAACTACTGCTTGCTGCTGCATCAGAACAGTTCCTTGGAGATTGCTGTGTTTATGTAAGGCCAGGTGCTACATAATTTCTAGAGAGAAATAAGACCAGCCCCCAAGTAGATATTTCCCCACCCCACACTGAGTCATGAGTCCTCAAAAAACCCATCTATTTGCATAGTTTAACTGACAAATGGCATTGCCTTGAGTTTAGGATAACAACTGCTCTAGTAAGTGTATGATTATTAGCAGTAGGATTGCACCAAACAGCAGGCCATCCCTATGCTGTCCTTAGGATGTTTTGAGCTACTTTACAGAGAACTTATGGCATACCAATAAGTGGTATTAGTAACACTTGCAGTTGTCCGATGTTATCAATTGAATAGAATAAGCCTAAAGTATATAGTAGAAGTTGGCATTTCATCTTCTGTTTTGATTTTACTTCACTGGGGTTACCATTTAACCAAGGGTAGAAACACACACAATAAAGCACAATTGAGAGGCAGTGAAAGGTATGAACAATTCCTTCTACCATTGAGGTATCAGGATACTTCTGTCCCCTTAGTGGGTAAGAGCAGTGCTTCCACAGCAAGTAAGAGAAGGAAGCTTGTACAGCTCATCATCATAGCTACTATCCACCAAGTACCATCCAGAAGTTCTTTTTCAGTCAGTGCAAAGCATCAATTCCAGGATATCATATCTTGAAAAGATCCATTCTTTTGGTTTTAGTCCCTCAGACCATAACAAAGTGTCAAGGCCTACATCTGCAAGCTCCATAATTAGCAGCAGCATAGTGGTGTTTGTGGCTATGAGCATCCATAGACACAGGCAAACTGCTCAGTGTTAGAGCCTGACATTCATATCATGACCTGTATCAGACTTTTTTTAAAATGGTATGAGGAAAGCAGACCTGCAAGATTTTTGGCACAGCAAAGCATGTTAAGGTGTCTTGTAAAAAGAGTGGAGAATGATGCTTCAGATTTCCATTCTCTTTATTGCCAAGAGATTTATATTTAAAATGCCAAGATCCAAAAAAAATGTTGTGTAATAAATACTTCACTTTAGGCTGTAATAAATAAAAAAAATATTAACAAGGAATGCACTTTGCCAGCCACAAGTGTGGGTGTTTTTGAAAAATCGGGGGAAAAAAAAAAAAAAAGAGTATGGCCATAGTTCACAGTTAAGCAGCCAGAGGCTGCTTATTACAATGGAGCTTTCCCTTCCCTCCCCTTCCAGATGCATATTCACAGTTTAACTCCATCAGAAATGCTGTCTTACAGAGCAAGCAGTCACACTCTGCTCAGAGTTCAAGTCAAAAACATCTTTAACACACACGAAGCACAGAAAACTATGGTCCAAAGAACTCCTTGTCACACCATTTTAGTCCAACAGTAGGTTTAAGCTTCTAATAGATGTGTGCCCAGCACACTAGGACAGTCAAGTTTTCGTACCACCACACATCCATCATCAACATACTAGTTGCTCCACCATCCCCACTGCTCCACTATCCCCACTGTAGATTTCACAGTGAACAAAAGGTTCCGTTTTGTTTAAACGGAGTCAGTTCCTTCAGTTACATCGCTGCAGCAGCATGTTCAGAGCATATTCCATTCTGTGTTTTAGTTCCAATGAGCATCCAGAAACCAGAAGAGTTGTCAGACGAAACGTTGTGGATATCCTCTCTTCATTGATGTAGGTAAGGAGATACTCCTCACTCTGATTGCAAATGATGATTTTCGTGTGATCATGATAGAAGTTCACCTGTGAAAGAGAAACAAATTCCTGTTTCTATACATTCTCCTCTCAATTTCTGGCACTTATTGCCATAAAACTGGATAAAATATTTTAGAAACATTTCCTCTGGTGACACTACCAAACTTACTTGAAACGTGCCATCATTGAAGAGCATCATTAATGCTTTATCAGATTTAAGCCACTGCAGGAGGTAAAGCCTGGGCCTGCGCACATCTGTTAGGCTGGGCAAATCTCCTCCCTAGAAATGGAAACAGACATTATATTAATCACTCAGTTCACATCCTGTGCATTTTTACAGCTCAAGATCCAGAAGGTGCTGAACTTACATCCATTAGGTTCTCTTCCATGTAGTGAGAGAAATACTTCAGTACAGTCACTTGGCTGATGAACTGCTCAGGAGCCTCTGTGGCTGAGAAGACAGAACACTGGCCTAGCTCAGCATAGTAGTGGACTGTTCTGTAAGAGGAGAAAGAAAGTAAGGAGGTTAGAGATGAGATAAAAGCTTTTCATGTTTAAACCACCTTAGAGAATTCTTGGTTTTGTAATCATTCTTACTTTTTGTCTGGCAGAAGGCTCATATGAGCCCCGTTGTTGAAAAGGACACCGACAGTGTGATCTGACAGCTGGTACCCAAAGCCGTACTTGTTAGAATAGTCCACCCATTTTGTAACCCACTGGAAGGATGCTGTCAGCTGTTCTTTGGGAATGCTGTCTGCTTCTGGCATGTTCTCCAGACATCCTCGCAACACCCTTGCGACTGTATCGGCAACACTCCCCATGGTACTGTCTTCCAGGCCTGAAAGAGAAGGATTATTAGACTAACAAGAACACACAGAGCAGGCTTTCATTGTAAACGTTTCAGCTATCTAGACTCTAACTTTAAGAAGCTTAGCCTTTATAGCTTTCCAGTTTTAATTCTTCCAAAATATTAGCTCTGAAATTTAGAGACTCAAAAATAGGGGTGGGTAGGAGAGGAGCTGTTTATTTCAAGCTTCTGAGTCCAAGACATGAGAAAACTAAAGGTGGGATTTAGAATTAGAGATTACATGTTGCTGCACTTACATTCACTGCTACTGCTGCAGCTTCCCAAAGTTCCCCTGACTATCATCCGAATAGAGTCTCCAATCTGCTTATTTTCTGGTAGCACCCCCGGCTTCACTACTGTTGTGATAAGAGGCTGGATTTCCTGGAAGAGATGTCAGACATGTAAACATCAAACATAACACAAGCCAAGGCTTATACACAAGTTTTGCATGGCTCTCCTGTCTCTCAACAAATGATAAATTCTAGGGAAACTGGTATTAGTGTCTCCAGCAAGTACAAAGAGCTGCTGTTAGACTGAGCTTGAAGCAGCACACCAGGTCTTTCCATTCCTTTAGATCTTCAATTTGCATCTTACACACTATTAATCAGTCCTCTGCTCTCCTGCCCTAGCAAAAGAACAGCTGCATGCAGGTCTGAACACCAAATGCCAAGAGTTAGATCTCAGCGATTTATTCTTTAGGAAGTCCTAGTTAATCATGAACCGAAGCCCTGTGTTTGGAATATTGGGAAAGAGCACCTGGCAGACAAGTTACCACACAGGCGACAATTGACTCCAGGCAGATACTATAATTACTCAAAAGCCAAAATTGATAGTCTCCCTACAAAGGCTACTATACTTTGGTGAAGCTTTGCTAAGCCCTCTTTTAAAGCAGCTCCTGCTAATCATTTAAGCTTGATTATGCCATGTACGGCCCCAGCTCTGATATCCAAGTCAAATATAATTTAATTATAGCCACCCCACCCAACTGTTATTGGATTTGAATTGAACTGCACTTGCATTTACCTCATCTGTTCTGTGTTTGTGGGGCTGCTGGGTTATCGATGTCTTCTTCAAATCATGCCTGAGCTTGTAGATTTCTTCATCTTCTTTAGCTAGTCTGTCTGTAATACAAAAAAAAAAAGAAATAATAAATACTGCATCTGGAGGTACTGTTCAATTACAAAAAGCCTAGTAAGTTAGCTGCGGAAAGCACATTGTCTCCCTCCAGTAGCTTCTTCTAAATCTGCCGCAGTTTCCCAGAACTATGGTACCACCAGACACGACAGACTAACTGATGCCCAATATAGATTTTCAGTATGCTATAAGCAGCATTTGCTTATGTAAGTTGGCGCAAGTTGCAGGCTACCATCTATACTTATTGATAAAGAGGTCAAAACTAACCCAGGGAGGAGATATAAGTACACATGCTCTGTTGCTATCTCATAGCTGTACATTACTAGCATGACATTGATGGCATTAGAGATAAGTTTCAAGCATAGTTACAATCCACTTACTATGTGTGTCAAAGTATCTGGCTTTATCCTTTTTGCCAAAGAGAGCAGCAGCTGCTTTTTTGAAGAAATTTTTAGCAGGACTTGACAAATGGAAATCAGGAACAGTGTGACAACAGCTAGCAGAAAGTCTATCGGGTGTAAAGCCCTGTGGAAATGAGATTCAGAAAATAATTTTTAGACCATATTGCATTTCTAAGGTGGGCATTTTTTCAGCCAGAATACTAGACAGTACAAACCTGTACAAAAAATTCGTGTCTAATTATTTCATCTAAACTGGGCCGATCTTCAGGATTTTTTGACAACATGCTAGCTATTAAGTGTTTTGCAGGTGCCAAGAGAGATGAAGGCAGGCTGTATCTTGCTTCCCTTATACATCTGTACGTTTCTTTAAGATTCGTGGTCTCAAAAGGGGGTCTTCCCAACAGCATGGTATACCTGTTTAAAAGCAAAGGAAAACAATTTTGTTTATTTTACACACGCACCGTACTTTTCTGCAACTACTCAAAAGGCTTTGTCTGCTGACACAAAGGAGAATTTCTGCACTTGGGCTAGACATGTATGAAGGGTTGCAAACTGATGCAGTACTGCATCCACTTTGAACTCTTAAAAGCCTAAGCCAGTGACAGAAATATTTCATTTCAAAGGTAGTGAAGTACTTACATTACACAGCCTAAGGCCCAGATGTCAGATTCACAGCCATGCCCTTGTTTGTTGAGGACTTCTGGAGAGAGGTAATTTGGTGTGCCACATATTGTTCTGCAAATCAAAGAGGCCACAGAGCCTGTTAGTATTTCAGATAGAAAGAGGAGAGAAGCTATTTTTCATAGGGCAGGTTTTCTTCTCAAGTTTGGACAAGAACTTAGGGACTCCTAAAGAGGAGCTGTATGAATGTTAACATTGGAGACAGCATGAAACACATCTACGTGATAGAGGAACAGCAGACTCCTATCTGCATTATTCGTCAGTCAGGTACCCTGCCTCCGGCATTTGCTATTATTCAAATGCTCAGAGGAAACCAGAATTCAAAGCAGAGCAGCCTGTTTTCTAGAAGGGGAAGTCTTGATCCCAGAAGCAATTAGCTTTTGCTATGGAACAGGATTTTTCATTTCTAAATGAATTTGGTTTCATTTACTACTAGACTTTGCATTTTGAGGCTCCTACCTCCTCCTGTGCTCCAGTGGTTCCAGCCTAGCTGCCAAGCCAAAGTCACCCAGTTTCAGTTCCATGTTCTCATTAATGAAGAAGTTACCTAGCAGAGAGAAATGCCAGTTAGCCCTTTTCTTGCAAGGTAGGAATGCATTTGCCACAGGTGCTGACTCATACTTTGTTCAAAGACAGAAGGTGGCCAAGATTTTTTTTTTTTTTAAAGCAGGAATGCTTAATGTCATGCCTTAAGCACTCCAAGTTTCCACTGTGAAGACAGACTGAGCCAATTTTATTAATTAAGCTATCGCCATACAAACGTAAAGTGGTACAATGCTGACCGGACTGAAGGAGTGTGTTTTGAAGTCGGCGAGGAGGAAAACTTACCTAGCTTAAGATCCCTGTGCAAGATTTCCTGTTCATGAAGATACTTGAGCCCTGACACAATTTGCCTGAGGTAGTATCGTACTTCTGGTTCCGTCAATACCTTCCTCGCTTTTAAGATGTGAGCCATTGACTGCAGAGGAAAAACAAATGCAGAAATGTCACAGGACATTCACCCACAACATCCACCTTAAGCAAAAGTAAATCAATGCATGGAGAAATGACAGCTAAAGAAGCCACGAAAATACCTTTTACACATCACACATTTAAATTAGTTGCAGATTCCAGGTAAGTAAATACTGGATTTCTCCTAGTTGATGCTCACCCTTCTACTGCAGTACTCCAGAAGAATGTAAATATTCTCTCTGTCTTCAAAGTAGTGGTAAAACTGCACAACGTGTCTATGATTAAGCATTCTGTGCAGCTCAATCTCTTTATCAATCTGAAGAGACAAAGAGGAGGAAGAAAAGAAAAAAGTGTTTGTTAGCCTTGCGTCCACAAGGTTGAGCAGACAGCTCGTATCAGAATCCTTTCAGGAAAAGGGCTGGGCAATCCAGCACACAAAGAGTTTGAGAAGGGGAACAAAAAAAAAAGCCATTCATGCACACACACCTTCTCCCTTTGATGAGGTTTTGCTACTCTGCTGTGAGGAATGATTTTTGCAGCATAAACTTTGTTTGTTGTCAAATCTGTCATCTCATAGCACTTGGCGAATCCACCCTAGAGAGACACACGAGAAAAAGGCAATTATAGCAGGTATGAAAGAAGTCCCACACTTAGTCATTCACCAGCTCACGCATTAGTCAAGGCGCGCAACTTCCTTCGCACAGGATAATTTGGCAAAAGGCAGGTCTGGGGTTCATCGCCCATCTCAGGGTTCGCCTTGCGGCTCCCCCCTTTCCTCCCCCCCCCCGCCCCGCACGGAACACCGAAATCATTATTTCTGCAGGCTTTCCCGAGCTGAAGGCACGATTCCGCTGGCAATCAGGGACGGCGATGAGTCGGGGACGGGAAGGGCGCTCGGACCCACCGCGTTTGAACCGACAGGGCAAATCCCACCGGGGGTCCGGCATCCCCCCCCCACCGCCCCCCGCCGGAGCGCAGCCCCCGCCGCGGCCATTACCTTTCCCAGCACTTTTCCGCGGCAGTATCGCTTCCCCGTGGTGGGGTCGGTTATAATCCGGGAGACCTCCGCGGCGGGGTGGGGGTGCTGGTGCGGCGGCGGCTGCTCCTCCGCCTTCTTCCTCCGCGACTCGCCGCCGGCCGCTCTGCCCACCGCCGCCGCCTCGCAGCCCTTGGTGGCACCGCCACCGCCATTGCCGCCGCCCGGCGGGTAGGCGATGGTCCGCAGCAGCTCCATCCCCGCGCCTCGCCGGCTCCGTCCTGCCCGCCGAGCCTTCCCTCGCCTTCCCGCCCCGCTCCCGACGCTCTCCAGACAGCCGGCAGCGCTCCGCAACGCCGCTTATATGGCGGGCGGCAGCTCCGCCCCGCCGCGGCGGGACAGCCCCCGCCGGGGACCCGCTCCGCCCGCCCGCCTTGGCCCGGCCCCGGGGCGGCCCGAGGGGAGCGCTCCCCGCTCCCCGCCCTGCCCTGCGCGGCCGCGGGACCCCACCGCCTCGGTGGGTCGGGGAGGAGAGTCCCGCTGCGGAGGGTGCTGAGCCCCGTCCGGATGGGAAGGCGCCGAGGGGAACCGCGGCACCGAGGGGTCTTCTGCGGAGTTGGCGCTCGGTGGGGCGGCAGGGGTCTGTGACAGACCGGCCAGTGCAAGGCACTGGGGTGCGACCCACGCTGCCGAGGAGCGACCCTCTCCCTCCCTCCTGTTGCGCGGAGAACCCGCGCGAAGCCTAGCGGCACCCTCCAGAGCCGCCCGGTGATACAGTCAGCTCTAAAATGTCCCTTTCACAAGCAGAAATATTTCCTTGAACAACCCAAAGGCACACAAATTAATTTTGAAGACCCCCGACGGCAATGGTAGTCCAGGACCTCTCATCTAGAGGTCTGATTATAAATGACTGTTGCAGAGTCAAGTGTGTACGTGGGAGAAAAGTTTTGAAGTGTGGCATAGCTTTGCGTTTATCCTATTCTGAAGATGCAAAAACGCTGAAGTTCATTACTTCCTCAGTTTTTTACACATTTCTGAAGATTTATTTCCTCGTTGGCACATACTAAGAATATTTCTGCCTACTTTCATTGCTGGTAAAAATCAAAGTCTAGTTGATTTAGTACAAATGAGTCTCAGAGCATGTAACAGTATAAATTATTTCAGTGTCAGTCTCTGAACATCCCTCATTTCAGATCTCAAAACAACAGCAAAAAAACACACTTATTTTACAGCGTCAACATGAGGATGCATGCAAGGTTCCAGTGCTCAAATATCAAATATATTGGATTCTGCACACTCTACTTTCCCCACCCGTGGGTTTTCACCGGACGTGCACTGGACACTGCTCCTGCATGCAGGTGTCTTGCTTCCTACCTGGCTCTGCAAAGTCTAGCCAAGTCACGTTAGCATTACTAGTGATTAACCATAGGGACAGAGGTAAAAGCAAGAAGAGGGAAAAACTGGGATACACAGACCGTACCCGGCCCTGTGTTCACTAAGCCCCTAACCTTACAAGCATTGGCTTCCCGCACAAATATTGCTTCCCTCATGAAACGAAACTTTCTCCAAATTAATATCCGTTATTGCAAAATAAATTACTTAATGTAAAGGTGTTTTCTTGATGCTTTGTTTTCTGTCAGTTGAGTTGCTTCGGTCGGCCCTGCTGGAAGGCGGTGGGGAAAGGGGAAAATAGGCTGGATAGAGGTACACGTTTTCCCTCCGCTGGAAAGAAGTGGTACTGCACGTGGCGAAATGCGAATTTAAGAAAAAACAGGCTTTGTCTGGTAAACGTTCAGAGGAGATCGTTAAGCTTGACTTCAAGAGTACACAAGCTCATGGTTAAAGCTGAATATGCAAAGTGTTCTGCTACACAAGACCAGGGCTGCTCATTCTCACGTCCTTTGCTGCAGCAAAGTCTTTAGGCCGTGTTCCCTCTGGGTTACCAAGGGCCGTGAGGCTGCCCTGCTGCCCCGGGCAGCCTGTGCAGTTACTCTGAGATTGCTGATCCCACTTTGGCACAGGTAGCATTTACCTAACACTTGTCTCAAGGTGTGTATTGATTGCAAGGTTTTGCTAAAGGGAAAGCTGTTGCAGGAATAAGAATTTTTAACAGCATTCTCGATCCTGTTGGCGAATTGTGTTTCCGCCCTTTCTGCCTCTGAATTTGTTACTTTATCTTTCCTTTTCTCCAGTTTTTCCACTGCCTAGCAAGTTCTGCACTGCCTTCTAAGTCCTAAGATGCACAGCTCATCGGGTAACTTTACCCGGAAATACTAAATTCAATACTTCAGTGTTCCAGAGGCCTCTAAAAGCCTCTGTGCTGGCACATTTCTTACACTTATATTACATTTCTTAGCTTCTGTGGAGAGCTACTGGATATTTTGTAATTAATGTATTTAACTTTTTCCTTCTAAAGCAGCAGCTCTCCTGGATAAAATGACATTCTTAACAAAAGCTTGAAACTAACCCTTTCCTATCTTGCAAGAGGAAAGTCATCCTAGACGGTGCTCTGTAACATCTTTTTCTTGCAAGTTACATCCTCAGAGTGCTTAAGTGTACCTGCAGCCTGCACTAGAAGCTAATTTGCAAGCTAGCTTAGATAGCAGCAGCTTTGTAGCCAGATCAGTATGCAGCACTGCAGTTACCCTGCCAAGAATCAGGGCGAATGTAGCCCAGACTCAGACACACATTCTGTCTCTGGCTGCAGAAAAAAACTAATCCCTTATCCCTACAACTTCATTTTGACAAAAGTGTACAGCTTTTTTTCATAAAAGCCTGATTACTGGGGGTCTGGGAAGCCTCGGCATGCATAAATCCTTGGGTCAGATGAGGAATGGGAATTTGACAGAGTCATAAGTGGCCTAATTACAGACTTGTGGGAAGAAGGTCTTGGCAGGAACTACTCGTTCTTACCCTAGCATTGGGAAAATGAGGTGTTTGAAGACTTAAATTTCCAGAAACAAGTGCATTAAATCCTGGATTTCCTGCATATTACAGAACCTTGGCACTGTTCGTGGCCGTGAATTTGCCAGGGCAACCAAGCCCTGATGTGAAATCTGTATCGATACCCTCTGCCTAGCCCCCAGGCCGTCTCACACCTGAGCTTCCTGCCCACGGTGCTGCTGACACGCTTTTTTTTCCACCACCAGTGTGCCAGTCTGAGCCCATTGGCTGTGCCCCCATGGTCACACACGCCGCCAGCCTTGCAGTCCACACCGGGCTGGGAGGTTTGGGGGGGAGAGATGGCCTTTTAGCCGGCTTTCAGCTACCAGGAGGCCTGTCCTCCTGCCTCAGGTCAGCTGTCGGCAGGACCGTGATTTCCCTTTTGCCGGTCATACAGTGCCCTCAGCTGCTGACATGAAGTTATGGCAGTTTGGCTGAAAAGAACCGGATTCTACTCAGAGATGGGACGAACTAAGGAGCCCCGCGACAAGCATCGTCACTGGTGATAAAAAATATGCAGCTTATTTCTAGAACACCGCCCTATAAAAAACTACGTTATTAGAAATGTGCCTTTTACACAAAGTGCTTCCTTTGTGACTTGTCAGAGGAGAGAGTAGCTATGTCTGGACAAACTGTTGATAATCTTGCTGTATTTCAATGTATGGCTAAGTCTCATTTCTCCTCTTGGCTTCTTCCCTAGCTCATCCCCCTAATTTCATTCTTCTAGCTTCACCTTTCCTACCCCACCAGCTCCACACCAGCCTTTTCCCACCACCCTATATTTCATAGAATCATAGAATGGTCCAGGCCGGAAGGGAGCTCCAAAGGTCATCTAGTCCGACCTCCCCGCAGTCAGCAGGGACACCCCCAACTAGACCAGGTTGCCCAGGGCCTCGTCAAGCCTCACCTCGAATATCTCCAGGGATGGGGCCTCAACCACCTCCCTGGGCAACCTGTTCCAGTGCTCCACCACCCTCACAGTGAAGAACCCTCTCCTCATCTCCAGTCTAACTCTGTTCCCCTCCAGCTTGAACAGATTGTTGACTTGAACATTGTTATGTTCACCTCTTCAAACTGCATACGCACCATCAGAACCATTCTACGATCAACAGTTTTCAGTTGTCCGTGGAGAACTGAGCAAAAAGCATCCTCCACTTACACTGCTGGCTTTGAAAATTATCCCGACTTCACAGAAATATCTTATATATAAGATATATATATATTTGTCTGTACGTGCTCTGCTTTTCTGTTCCGTGCATTCCCCATTCTCTGGCGCACTTGCTGTTGTGCTTCCAGTAAATCACTCATTTCATAGCCTGTAGGGTATCTCATAGGCAGACTCACCAAATAGAGTATAAAACACATAAAAGCTTAACTTGATACAGAACTAAACATTTGCTCTGAGGCTGCCATGCAGCTTCAGTGTGTCACTTTTATTGCAGGATTTTACTGTCACAGACCATCCTCACACATAGGTGTGATAGATACCCTTTGTCCTCCCCAACTCACTGCAGAGCTAATGCAAAGCACTTGTTTCTGGTATAATTCATGTATTTTCATTTTCTTTGTTTGAAGCTTGGCAAAGTTTCCAAAGAGCTGAATTCTTTTGCAGTTTCATTTGAAGTCATCTACTAATTAAAAAGCAGGCAGACTACCAAGAGCTTAAGGCAATCATATGTTTTACCAGAAAGATCTCCAGAAAAGAGGGTGCTTAGCCCAGTGGTCACATAGGCTGTGCTAGTTTTTGGTTTCTTCTGGGGTGCTGCCAAGGTCTGTTCCCACCTTGATGGTTCTGTGTGGGTTCCTTGGGGCCAGCAGGAAGGCATGGCTGCAGCTGTGGTGGTTATAGGATCCTGCAATATGTCCCCAAGGCACAATCCTTTCTATTTCCTGGAGTTTAATGAGTACCTCCATGGTCAGGATGGATGGATGGATGGGAAATAATATAGCTCCAATCAAATGTCAGTACCAAAGAGACTCAGCTTTCTATTATCCCTCACTACTATCACACTCCTTCCCTGTGGTGCTTGATTGAGTAATGTCTCACAGCTTGATTTCAGGCACTGGCCCCTGCACTCAGGAAGTGCAGTAACACCGTCATACAGTGCCTGCTTCTAACAGTGAACTCAGACCACAGGTTTGCACATTGTGGTATTTTTCTCATTTTGTTTTTTTCACAGCTTGACTTGTTTTTCTTGCACATGCCAGACCAAAACAAAGATCATACTAACCTCAAAGTTATCAGTAATACAAATATAAAGGCTCTAAAGCCTCTGCTTTTGCCTCTGAAGATTGATTAAAATTGTTATTTTAAACTTTTCAAGGTTAATAGTTGAGGATGTGTTTGCACAAAC